TGTGGGTGGGGGGGTGTCACATATGCTGTCTGTCAGCCACTCCAGTCTAGTGAGACATAGCGGAGGCAGAAAGACATGGGCCCTGCCACTGATTCTCTGTGCCCACTGATACTACACCTGACTCTGGGCACCAGTTAGTCTGTTTAAAGTGGGAAAATGTAATTCCCACCTCACAAGAGAACAAAATGAAGTTACAATGGAAGCCCCCAAAGAAAAACACATACAGATGCACACCCCCAAACTGCTCACCAAAGGCAGGTGTTTTTTGTCCAGTGTCACCAACCTGAAGAGTGACGTTTTGGGAAGTCTCTCCTGAGTTCCAGGCATACTTTTATTCCAGCTGTGCTTGTGGTGGTCCTGCCCCTGCCCCCTTGGAGTCCTCAGTCACCTTTAGGTGAAGGTGCCTGGGTGTGTGGTGTGGGTGAGCCACCCTCCCTGCCCACCAGGGACCAGCCTGCTCCCTGGGTCTTGGGTGCTGTTCCTTCTGAGGGGCTGCAGTGTCCTCTGAGATGCCGTGTTTCTCGTAGGCTGTAAGACACCTCTGCAGTCCTTCCTGGGAATTGCTGAGCAGCATGGGGGCCCCCAAAACGGGGTGAGTGTGTGCCAGGGGTACCTCTGTGTGGAAGGGCACAGATGGGATCAGGAGGAGGCATCCTGTGTGGATCTGCTTTCTTTCCACAATGCCCAAGGCCCTGTCGGCTCCACAGTGGTGGGGAGTGGGGCAAGGGAGACAGATTTGGGGCTTGTAATACCAGGTGGCTGGCCTGGCCTCGGGGACTGAGAAGGGCTCATGAGCTCCTCCCTGTGTGGTACAGACCCTGATCACTCAGACCCTGAGCCAAGCCAATCCCACTGCCATCACCGCAGAAGAGTACTTCAACCCCAACTTTGAGCTTGGAAACCGGGACATGGGTCGCCCCATGGAACTGACCACCAAAACACAGAAGTGAGGGCCCCTGCTGGGCCTGGGCAGGGCTGGGGGAGGGGTCAGGGCTTCTACAATGGCCCTCACCCTTTGGGGTCTGCGGGGGGGGGCAGGTTCAAGGCCAAGCTGTGGCTGTGTGAGGAGCACCCCCTGTCCCTGTGTGAGCAGGTGGCCCCCATCATTGACCTCATGGCCGTCAGCAATGCACTTTTCGCCAAGCTCCGGGATTTCATCACCCTGCGCCTGCCTCCGGGATTCCCCGTCAAGATTGGTGAGGCCTCTACCCCCATTCCTCTTGAGCTGCTCTAGGGAGAGTGGGGCTTCTTAGGAGGTTAAGAGGGGGTACCCATGGTGGGAGGGAGTGGGTGGTGGTGGCGCCTGATGAGTTTGCTCATCCTCAGAAATTCCGATTTTCCACATCCTCAACGCCCGCATCACCTTCGGGAACCTCAATGGCTGTGACGAGCCGGTGCCGTTGGTGCGAGGCAGCCCTAGCAGCGAGACCCCTTCCCCAGGCAGCGACTCCTCCAGCGTCAGCAGCTCCAGTTCCACCAGTGAGACCCCGAGTCCGCCCTCACTACCCCCACTACCCCGGCACCCACCGAGAGCTTCCCCGGGGAGCGGGAGGGAGGGGGCGTTCTGGTCCACTCTGACCCCCTCCCCGCCTCCCCGGCCTGGTGTCCCCAGCCTCGTGCCGCGGCTGCGAGATCTCCCCCGCGTTGTTCGAGGCCCCGCGCGGCTACAGCGTGCTGGGCGGCCAGCGCGAGGCCACCACCCGCGACGACGACGACGACCTGCTACAGTTCGCCATCCAGCAGAGCCTGCTCGAGGCGGGCAGTGAGTACGACCAGGTGCGTCCCCGGAGGCCGCGAGGGGGGGTCCCCACCGGGACCACAGCGCCGCCACCACAGCTAACGGGCGCACACCCCACCCCGCAGGTCACCATCTGGGAGGCGCTCACCAACAGCAAACCGGGCACTCACCCCATGTCCTACGAGGGCCGCCGGCAGGACAGGTCGGTGCCCGCCCGTCCTGAGAAGCTTTCGAAGTGTCTATGCCCCCTCCCTCGGCCCCCCCCCCCCCACAGAGAACACACACGTGTTCTCACACATAGAGAACACGACCGGACCCTGTCCACAGCGCGTCCGGTCACTGCCGGCTGGGCAGCCCCTCTTGGCCCGGAAAAACCGCGGTCCCCTCATCGGGGACCCTGCTGGCGTCAAAGTGGCGTCCTTTCTCAACCCAAAGGCGTCCTGAGAGCTTTCACAGATCCTCACCAGAGAGGCGGGGCTGGGATCCGCTCTCATTGGGTGGGAGGGAGCTAGGGAGGTGACGTGAGACCCTTTGACCGCACTGTGGGGTGGCGAGGCCCGCGGTGTCCGAGGGCCTCCACGCTGCCTTCCGCCCCGCTTCTGGGCAGATGGGCCCTAGACGTCTCTTTACCTGTCCCGCAGGAGCGCTCCGCCCACGCCGCAGCGCCAGCCCGTACCTCGCGCGGCCCTGGCGTCGGTGCCCAGCCCTCGGCCCAGCCCGCGCCCAGGCCCGGGCGGCCACGTGTTCCGGAGCTACGATGAGCAGCTGCGGCTGGCCATGGAGCTGTCTGCGAAGGAGCAGGAGGAGAGGCGGCAGCGCGCGCGCCAGGAGGAGGAGGAGCTGGAGCGCATCCTGCGGCTCTCCCTGACCGAGCAGTAGCGCCCTCTGCCGGGCGCCCAGGCCACGCCCCGCGGAACCCGCCCCGGAGTGAGGACCGCCCCGCCCGTGCGCTCGCCGAGACTGGAGACCTGAGGGGTCGCCTGGCGGGCGCAGCGGCGCACCCGTCCACTGACGGGGAGGGGTTCGGCCCGGCCGCGGAGTACCTTTCCGGGTCAGGGCCCTGGAGGCAGCTGGCACGGCCCGATTCCCTTGCTTTGCTGTATCCTGACCCCCCGCCCACCAGTCACCCCTGGGCTCGGACCGGTCCACGGGTGGAACCAGGCGGTCCTGAGGGGGAGACGGTCCTGAGAGGAGCAGGGTCCCCATCCTCTGCTCCTTCTGGCCGGTCCTCCTTTCTGCTCACTGACCCCACTCCAGGACACTGCCCGTGAAGCCTTTGCATCTCCGCTCTTCCCCCCGGGGGGAGGTGCAGCTGAGCTCCCCACGTGCTGTGTTGCCGCTTTGGCCCAGACACAAACCAGCACGTCCAGGGCCCAGCCCCTCCCCCACCCCCGCATTTCAGCGTCAAGTGCACTTAGCGGGGTGCCAGGCTCCCCCAGCCCCCACACCCCTCCCGGGTCTCAGGGTGGTCCTAGCTTCTCTTGGGGGCGGCCAGAGGTTGGAGTCCCCATCCCCAAGGCACGTTTTTGTGATCAGGGAGGAGGCTAGGTCTGGGCAAGTCCTGGCTCCCTCATGGTGTCTTGGCGAATGAGGGGCATAGTGGGTGCGGCGCAAACACAAGACAGGGGTTGCCCAGGGCTGTGGCACCACTACCCACCCCTTCCCACCAGCTGCTGCTAGCCCTCTGTGGTTGTGCATCCTACTTTCCCCACCCAGGGGCTGACTCTAAAACCCTTCATCCAATGGTGCTAACCCCCGGCTCCCCCTGCCCTGCCCCACCCCACCCCACCCCACCCCACCCCACCCACCCAGAAAAGCACAGACCCCGCCGGGGGCAGGGGCCCACCGCACACCCTTGTCTGGGTTCTCTCGGACTGGCCTTCCTGGCTCAGCCAGTGCGGCTCAGAAGGGACACAAAAGGGATGGAAGAAAAAGAACAAAGAGAAGCTGTTCCTCTCACCCCCTTCCCTGATGCCAGGGGCACCAGACTGATTCTGAGGCACAAATAAAAGAGGCTTCAAACCTGAGGTTTTTCCTATCTGCCTTTACTGGGGAAGACCGCCCACCCGCAGGTTGAGGGTTCCTTCTGAACCTCAGAGTGGAGAGGACTCTGAAGTAAAAGGACTCCTGGTGGGTCCTGAGCCGAGGGTTTCATCTGTCAGGGCCTCCAGGATTCTGGCGGTGGCATTTACAGAGGCTGAGGGTCTCCCATTCCCACCCATGCAGGAGGCAGAGACTGAGCACTTGGTAAAATGTTTCATTCAGAACATCTTGTTTTCCTTCTAGAGTCAAGGCCACAGCAGAGGGCTGGGAGCTGTGTGTGTGTTTGTGTACAGCAGAAGGCTGTGTGTGTGTGTGTGTGTGTGGTGGAGGGGTGTGTGTGTGTGTGTGTGTGTGGTGGAGGGGTGTGTGTGTGTGTGTGTGTGTGTGGTGGAGGTGTGTGTGTGTGTGTGTGTGTGGTGGAGGGGTGTGTGTGTGTGTGTGTGTGTGTGGTGGAGGGGTGTGTGTGTGTGTGTGTGTGTGTGTGTGGTGGAGGGGTGTGTGTGTGTGTGTGTGTGTGGTGGAGGGGTGTGTGTGTGTGTGTGTGTGTGTGTGTGTGTGTGTGTGTGTGTGGTGGAGGTGGAACCTGCTTCTTCATGCCAGTTTTCTGGTTGGGTCTCCTGTGGAAGTGGCACGAGGAAGCCGCCCTCTCCCCTGCAGGTGGGGAGAAGGAAGGGAGCCCTCTGCCATGGACTACTGGGTGTAGCCCGGGGGACCGGAGCTACAGCCAACGTTTGTCTGTCTGTAGAACTGGGGCGATGCCCGTTCAGTTGACCACTCAGGGTGGTGGGGTCAAGTGAGCTGATTAGAGGGAGAAGCGTTGTAATTTCCCCCAGTCTGGGGAGACCCGTCGAATCGCTACCCCTTTGAGGTCAGGCCCAAGCTCCCCACCATCTCCAAGCATTGCGCTAACACTAAGCAGTTTCTCTGCCCTGGGCGAGGAACAAAGGGGACACTGCCTGCGGTGCAGCACCATTGCTGAGGCCCCGTCAACCCGGGCTTTCCAAGGCCAGCTCCTGCCTAAATCCCGGACGAGGTACGCAGCCAGGCAGGCGCCAGACGGACGCGAGTCTCTGCAATTGTCCAGGACTCCCGCCAAGGGCGGAGTTCCCTCCCCAGTCCCCGCCCAGGCCTAGAGGGGCGGAGTGCGGAGCTCCGGACCCAAAGCCGGGCGCTCCGCCCCGCTGTGCCTCCCGGCGTGGACCTCCCCGGCGGCGCTGCCCTAGTCCGTGCCGTCCACCAGCTCGCACAGCATATTCTCCAAAGATGTGATGCGCTGCTCCTGGGCCTGCACCTGCTCTCGCAGGGCCTTAATCTCCTCCAGCAGCGTCTCCAGGGTGTGCTGCTGCGGGGCGCAGAGGACCAGAGAGGCGGTGTTGGGCGCGGGGCGGTAGGGGGCTGTGTATTGGGCCTCGGTGGAGCCGGGCGGAGCCTTACCGACAAGGGGGCATCGCTGGCTGACTGGCTGCGACGAGGACCGGAGGGCGGGCGCACGTCCAGGATGTTGCGCTTGGTGACACGGAGCTCGCGGTGCTTGGGAGGCACGTAACCGTCCCTCAATGAGATGAGCACGGGGTCGGCGTCCTGACCTGATAGCCATTCGTCCGCTTCTAGGGCCGGCTCGGGGCCCGGTGTATCTGGGTAAAGGTCGTCCTGGAACAGGTCTGACTGCGGGGGTAGGGAGACAGAAGAACAAGCTGAGTGCCCGGCCTGCTCCGCTCCCTTCCGCCTCGGAGCTCTGCCCACCCCTTTCGCGATCAACTCACCTTGCGGGGCACAGTCATGACGATGGGTTCACATTTTCTTTCGTGCAACTTGTAGAACCTAAAAGGGAACGGGGATCAGCACCCGCTCAGGCTCCCACTCCCTTCACTAACCAAGGAGTTAGCGGCCAACATTTGCTGGGCGCCTACGATGCATTGCACTTTAAACACATCCAACTGGTAAAACGCCTCTCAGAGGGTGTTTATCATCCTTAACAGGTTAAGAAACTGAAGTTCAGAGAATATCAAGTGTGTAGCGTTGGGGCTGGCAGTGGAAACGAGTCTGTTTGACCCCAACCTCCCAACCCAGCCCACTCCTTTCCAAAGATTACACGCCTGAGGAAGCCCCCGCGTCTTCCCGGATGGGACGTGGGGACAGAGGCAGGTGAGCAGGAAGGGCAAAGCTGCTGACCGTGCGATCTCGCACTTGCTGACATCGAGTCCCCGCTTGGGCATGAAGCCCATGCCCCTCTGCGGCTCCTTGCTGCTGAAGGTGTTCAGGTAGTGCACGAAGGGCGGTTCCTCGGTGATCTCAAAGTACCGAATGCTGCTGTCGCCCTGCAAAGCCAGTCGGTTCAGAGCCGTGCCGGGAGGGCCCCCTCATCTCCGTCCGGCCCCCTCCTCTCCCCTCCCGGCCGCCAGCACCTTTCCGCACAGGTAGACGATGCTGGAGTCGGGATCGTAGAAAGGCAGTAGGACCCCGTTGCTTGTGTCCATCTCCTGCAGCGCCACTGGCTCCTCGAAGTTGTTCTGCCCAAGCACAGGAGGCGTGAACAGCCAGCCCCATCCTGACCTCGGTGCCGCTTCCGGATGCCCCGAAGCTCCTGGCCGCTGCCTGCCCTCCCTGACGCCCTCGCACTCCCAAGGCAGCTCTGGTGACGGAACTGCAGAGCCCACTCTGGACACCACTCCTGGTCCCCGCACCTAGACCCCCTGCGCCGCCGCATGCAGTCACTGCAAACCACCCCCAGGGACTGGGCATCACCAGGTGGGGGCGCCAGCGTGGGCTCCTTCAGGCGACGCAGCAAAACTGGGCAGAGGGGTGGGTGTGGGGATGGCAGGCGCTGCCAAGGGGGCAGCAGCCTCCAGCCCTGTCCAGGTGGGCATGCCCTGCGGGTGGGGGGCGCCTGGCCCCTCCCCCGTGATGCCAGTCCCCGGGGCACACACCCCAAGCGTCCAGCTGCGTTACCGGGTCCCACAGGCCCAGCTCTCGCTGGCTCATGCGGGTGAAGCCCGTGGTGAAGATATGACCCTGGCGCGTGAAGACGGCCCGCATGGGCCTCATCCCCTCGTGGGCCGCAAACCTCTCCTGGGGGAGGGGAGGGGGAGACAGGGAGAGGCGTCACCCAGCTGCCTGCCCCGGGGAGCCTGGAGGGCCGGGCAAACAACTTGCTGACTGGGGTGTGAGGGCGGGGGCGGAGACAAAGGGGGCCCTAAATATTCAGTTTCCTGGGCCCCCCCCGGCGTGGCCCCAGGCCTGGAGAGCGCGGGGCGCGCGCGTCTCTCTGCAGATGCTGAGCCCTTAAACGCCCTCAGGGCAGGGGAGATGTCTGCGGGCTTCCCCGGAGCGCAGCCAGGCTCTTCCCAGACCGGAGCTCTCCGCTCCGCTTCGGCTCTCTTGGGCGCGGGCCACGGCCGGGGAGGGCGCTCCCAGCTGACCCAGCGAAGGAGCGAGCGCGTGCGCCCGGCGCGGCCTGGCCTACCGGGTCCCAGAGCGCGAGTTGCCGCTCACTCATCCTGCTGAAGCCGGTGCTGAGCAGCTTCCCGTCTGTGGTGAAGACGGCCCGCAGCGGGCGGGCGCCCTCGTGAGGCCGGGCTCGCTCCTGCTCGCGGGGTTAGTGGGTTAGAGCGCGCGCTGCCCCGCCCGGCCCCGCCGCGCTGGACGCGCGCCCTCCGCGCCGGACGCGCGCCCTCCGCGCCGACGTGCAGTGTCCCGCGCAGCCCGCGCCCCGGGTTAGATTGAGGCTGGTGAGGCCGGTGCCGCCGCCCTCGCAGGCCACCCAGCTGGGACAGACAACGCGCGGGGATGGCCCCCAACCCTCCGCCCGGCGGGTCAACTAGGTTGGAAAGGGGCCTGTTCTCGAGCCAGGGTTGGGCTCAGACCCGGGAAGAAGGCGTGCCGGTTGGGAGGAGAGGGGTCCGGGGGCTCAGGGTCATGCAAGGTCTGGTGGGAGGATAGAGTTTGCAGCTTCTCCCCTCCTCGGTCACGAATAGGGCAGCCCTCCTCTGGGCTGCTGAGATGCAGGGAAGGGGAGGAAACAGGAACTGGGCGGAGACTAGCGGGGCTGGGGGCTTACTTAGGGCAGGGGGCTAAAGGGAGGACTGGGATCTGGGATCGAGGTGGAGAAGGTGAGCGCTGGAAGCAGGGCTTAGGGGAGGGCGGGTACAGAGGCCTGACAGCTGCCCCCTGACGTAGGGGCTGGGGAGTGGCCAGGCCAGGCACTCACCGCCACCACCTGGCCCTTGCGCGGGTCGATGATTCGCAGGGTCTTGTCCTTGCAGGTGGTGGCTAGCAGGCTCCCGTTGGTGTTCCAGCACACGCTGTGGATGACGTCCGGATGCATGTCGTCTAGACTCAGGAGCACCTCCCCAGTGCCCACGTTCCAGACGATGATCACATTGTCACCACCTGCCCAGAATGGCCAGTCACCATCACCTGGGCCCCGCCTTTGCCACTCCCCCCATTCCCGACCTATGGTAGGACCCCTCCCTAGCCCCCCAGACCTGCACTGAGCAGGACATTCCGGGCAGTGGGGTGCCAGGAAAGGATGCCCACACGTTTGGAGTGGCCCTCCAGTGTGATGATGGGCTCTGTGATGTTGCGCACAGGGGTATAGTCTGGAATCTGCCACACCTGGGTGGAAGGAAAAGGCGTAGGGTAGGTCGGATGAGGAGCCAGCTTCATCACTGCCCCTCCCCTACTTCCTGGAGAAGGAAATGGCAACCCACTCCAGTATTCTCGCCTGGAAAATCCCATGGACAGAGAAGCCTGTTCATGGGGTTGCAGGCTACAGTTCATGGGGTCGCAAAGAATAGGACACGACTGAGAGATTTTACTTCTTCACTTCTTTCCCTAATCCCCCACCCCCACCTCAACTCTACCGGCTCTCTCTGGCGGTAAGGGTCAGATGCAGGACATGTGATGGTGCCTGCCTGGGGCAGAAACTGCTGGGAGCCAGGAGGGGGCGCTGTCAGCTCTCCAGAGACCTCCCTACTCCCCTGAGGAGGGAGACTTAAGAGCACTGCCCCCCTGCTCTTCAGGCTCCAAGGTAGCCACGGCTATAATTAGTCCTAAGCAGTGCATCCTGGGAGGGGGTGGGCATGTAGCTGAAAATAGCCTGGGAGCTGGGCAGGGCAGGCCCTGGCACTCAGCACCTCCCTTACCACCTTACAAAGCACAGGTGAGGCCGCCTTCCCCGCCTCCCCTGCCCCACAGCCCAGCAGCATCCACCTGGTGCCTACCATGATGGTGGTGTCGTCTGAGGCACTGGCGATGACGTTGTCATTGTGCGGGCACCAGTCAATGTCCAGCACAGGGGCAGTGTGCCCAGTGACCAGTGGGTAGTTCTTATCCACTCGCCCTGTCTGCAGGGATCAGAGAAGGAGACGTGGGGCTATTCTCCTGTGTGTTTTCAGGGGGTTGGGAGTGGACCTGTTTACATCTCAACTGTCTGTTATTTGTTGCTCTTTGCAGAACTCACCCCCTCTCTGCTCCTCCAAATCCAGCCACCCTGCTTCCTCTACGTCCCTGAAGGCAGAGTCTAAGTCATTTACTATCAAGGCATCAGACGCAGAGAGGTAAGATAACTTAACCAAGGACGCACAGCAAGATACTGCTAGAGCCAAGACTTAACTTCTCAGTCCAGTGCTCTTCCAAGGACACCTCCTTGGAGGATGCTGCTCTTCGGCCTGTCCCCTGCAACTGAAATATCTCTGGGAAACCCCTGCTGGACTAGGTCAAGGTAAGGTTATATGCAGTGCAGGGCTGCACAACTCCTTCCTAGCCTCACTGGGCAGATCTCTCCCTGGTCACTGGCTTTACCTTGGAACCACAAGCAGCAGGCATTCCTCGTGCCTGCTATCTCCCAACCTGAGCTGAGGCCCATCTATTTTTAATCTTTATGGTATGTTTGTGGGGGCTCTGAGGCCTTTGCAGGGGCTGGCATCGACCCAGACCAGGCAGCAGGGTAGAGGGGTGGCCGTGTGGCACTGGAATGGTGGTTGTACTGGGGGAGGGGGTGGCTCCCGCTGAAATTTGAGCCCTGGGGATGATGTCGTTGGATGGCGTCTGCATTGTCTTGGAGTGAGTCACTGGCTATTGTCAGGCCTCATCCTGACCTTGCCACCTGTGGGGCCTCCCCTAACAAGGTGTAGGGGCCAGAATCCAGGTCAAGGTCATGCCTTGGAGTGGACAGCCTATGGGTAGGGATGGCTGAGGGGCTCGAGGCTACTCAGTAAAGGTGATGGTCATTGCTTGGCCCCCATCCCTGGAGTATTGGAGGCTCTGGCCTGATATGTCATGTCCCCCTGCCTTTTGCTCTCGTTCTACCTCACTGCAAGAACCAGAATGGGGGAGGCAGCCAAGGATTCTGGATAGAGCGTGACCCTGTCCTCACTGTGCTGCTCTGGGGTGTGATTTAATCCAGTAGTCACCCTGGGCTGGGTACAAAGATCCAGAGGCCAAAAACACGAAGGGGTGTGGCATCAGGAGAATAGGAACAGAATCTGGCCAGGTCCTGACTCCACTGCTTCCCAACTATCCATCACCCCCTCCAGGTCCCTGCTGGGTACAGGGTGCTGCAAGGAGAAGGGATGGGCTGTGCGTGGGTGGGGACCAATGTGATGCTGCTGTTCTGGGAGGGGTGAGGGAGCCTCCCAATCGGTCCCAAGCGACTGGGGGATAGGGAGCAGTCAGTCTGCCTAGACTGCCCTGCCGAATTAGGAATGGAGCTAAGTGAGGACACAGGCTGCTGTCTGGAGTCCCCAGGAGTCGCAGTCAAGTGTCCACCTGCTTCCTTCCCCTCATCCCTCACCTTGGCCAGAGGCAGGACGATGAAGGCACCTCCACCCCCAGCCTCCACAATAATGGCCAGGAATTTGGGGTTGACGGCACAGAAGGAGCTGTCCCATGTGACCTTGGACACACGGATGTCCTCGTAGGCCTGGTCAGCCTTTGCCGCCTGTCCAAACACGTGGCGGAACTTGCTCTGCCGAACCACGCGCCGGCTCATAGCTGGGGGCAGAGATGGAGGATCTCAGTGCCCAGAAATGCTTTTGGTCCTTAGTCCTGTAGCTGTGGGAGGGAGGAAGAGTTGGGGGAGTGGCAAGTGAGAAGGATTATCTTGCCAAGAGTCAGGTATAAATTAATATAGTCTGGTCCTAGAAGCAAGGCGTTGTCTTCAAGGTGATTAATATATGGGAAAGTTCTTCGCTGAGTTCGAGGGACTTGGATTTGGGACCCGACTTCTTAGAAAACCGCCCCTTAGACTGGTGTCGAGAGTGGAAGCTTCCTGGACGTTCAAGCGGTTTTGGGAGGAGCCGCAACACCAGGCTGCCCTCCGGCTGCCAGCCTTGGGTGAGCATCTCTTCACCGAAGTGGTTTATCTCCCAGAGGCGTCTTGTCCAGAATCAGAGACTTCCTGGCTTAAGGCCATTTGTGGGGCTAGGACTGCAGCCCCCCAAGATGCTAAGCTCAGCCTCTCTGGCATAGGTAAGGCGAATGGGGTTTGCCTTTTTCTAAAAACTTGCCAAGGAGGAGTTCCTCCTGTCGGCTAACCAGAGTCCTTCCGGCTCCGCTGTCATCAGTCTCCTCCCATGCTGTCGGGGGTGGGGTGGGAGTGGGAGGAACGCGCTGTAAGGTGGATCTCCTCTTCCCACCCCTCTCCACCGGCTTCTCTAAGAGGCCCTCACCACGGTGTTCTGGCTTTTGCCCGCCATACTTCAGTCCCACTACTCCTCTGGGTCCTCTCTCCTGCTAAACTCTTGCGTGTGGGGTCCTCGAACCCCTCCCCGGGCCAGAGCCGGATTTTCAGAAGTGGAATGGGGAGGGTGAGGTGCCTCTTCTCCCGCTAGGAGCTTGTACTCAGCTCTTCCCCAGGGACCACACCGAGCGCTTCCCAAGCGGCAGCCACTGCCTCCTGCCCCTCCCCAGCACCGGGCATCCTTGTGCCCTTCAAGCCGCTTCTGCAGCCCCCGGCCTCAGGCCTGGCCTCCGGCCTCCCCGCACCCTACTCCGGCCCCGGCACTGCGTTCTTGCGAGACGAGGTGTCTGCGCCCTGCGGGCGCGCGGGCCGCTATCCGGCCAAATATAGACGCCAAGTCCGCCCCGCCCGGGACCGAATTTGGCGGCTGGGGGGGTGAGAGGCGCAGACCTCTGTTCCCTCCAGACCCCCCCCCCCCGATCCACTGGCTGCGGCGGCGGCGCGGCGGCGGGGAGTACCTGGTCCTGGGCCGGCGGAGGGGCGCTCACGCGGCGACTTCTCTGCGGAGGGGCTTGGGGGTGCGCTGGAGGCCGAGGGAGGCGTCAGGGCGCCGGAACTGCCTCTCTGGGTGTCCGTGGCGTCTGGGGCCCGGGCGTTTGGCTGCGCGATCCGGCCGCTGCCTGCGACTCCCGGGGCCGGGCGCCGCTGCAGTCCCAGCTGCCGCTGCCATCAACCTGCGGAGGCGGGGCCTCCGGCGGGGCGGGGCCACACGGGCCCCGCCCCTCCAGCGGCGGGAAAGTCGAGCGCTGCGAGACCCGTCCGGCGGCCTGGGAGAAGCGTCCAAAGTAATTTTGCGTGTGTGCTCGCGGGCTGTGCGCGATCCTTCTCCGGGCTCCGCGCCTACCGGGTGAACTGGGAAGGCCCAGGTTCCCAGACCTTAGAGCGGGGCGCTAAGAGAGCGAGCCTACGAAGGGGCGCGCTCTCCTTAGAGCCGGCGGCCGCGCGAGATCAGATGCCTTCGCGCTGCATTCCTGCTGCAATCACACTCCCAATTTAGCCAGTCCCGGCAAGCCGGGGCTGTGGGACTGCACGTCCGCACACCACCGAGGAGAGGGCCCGAGGATGCTCTGGGGACCCTTGGATGAGGGCCTAGGTCGGCCCAGGGCAGCTGGGAGAGTACATGACAGGCGGCTGTGAATGTTATTGTTACTGTCTTATTAACACACTGTCACTGTACTAGGCATTTCATCTCTTTAGGGAGGATTGCACGGAACAGGGCAGAAAGCAACCTAAAAACCGGGAGTAGGAATGAAGGAGAAAAACGTGAACACCAGGTTCAAGGAAAAGCAGCTGGCCCAGGTCTTTGGCTAGATTTTAGACACTGAACCTGACTCCACAAGGCTTGAGGGCCTTGTTTGTATTGGTGTTCTACTGTGTTCTGGGGAAGCTCCTACCCACTCCTACTTCCTTCAAGACCCTTGGATCTGAGTATTGACCAAGATTAAGTGAAAGTTAAAGTCGCTCAGTGGTGTCCGACTCTGCGACCCCACCGACTATACAGTCCATGGAATTCTCCAGGCCAGAATATTGGAGTGGGTAGCCTTACCCTTCTCTAGGGGATCTTCCCAACCCAGGGATGGAACCCAGCTCTCCCTCAGCGCAGGCAGATTTTTTACCAGCTGAGCCACAAGGGAAGCCCAAGAATACTGGAGTGGGTATCCTGTTTCTTCTCCAGCTGGTCCTCCCCACCTAGGAATCAACCTGGGGTCTCCTGCCTTGCAGGCAGATTCTTTACCAGCTGAGTTAGACCAAGATTAAGGAAGAGATAAAAAGAAATCTTATCAAAATGCAGCCAGTGAAAACAACTAGTCCCTTTAGCTGCTGTCTAAGTAGTCTCACCCGCTGCCTGGATTTCTTCCTTTAGATCATAAGGCCCTGGAGGGCACAGGAGACCTGTGATTACTTCTCATTCTCCAGGAGTGAGTGAGTGAAGTCGCTCAGTCGGGTCCAACTCTTTGCGATGCCATGGACTGTAGCCTACCAGGCTCCTCCATCCATGGGATTTTCCAAGCAAGAATACTGGAGTGGATTGCCATTTCCTTCTCCAGAAGATCTTCGCGACCCAGGGATTGAACCCAGGTCTCCCGCATTGTAGGCAGACGCTTGACCGTCTGAGCCACCAGGGAAGGTTTTCTCTGGACACACTTGGAAATCAATGGAACACGGCCTTCCAGAAGGTAGAGGTCAGCATTAGGGGTAAAGGGAGGGAAGGAAGGTGGTGGGAACCTCAAACGGATCACAAGGCTTGTTTCTCAGGAAGAGTCCAAGTATTCAGTGGCTTGTGGGCCAGACACTTGTTATGGGTACTTCAGGAATAATTATGGCATTGGAGTGGGGCATAAGAGTAGATGAAGAATCTCTCTTTTACCTAAAGATTCCGGGGACATGATTAGGAGGAAAAGACTTGAGTGACTCAGTAGCTCATTAATAACAATAGCTACACACTGTATTATAGACATTATATTTATTAATTCCATTCTGATAATAGTCTTCTGAGATGGGTACTATTATTACCCCTGTTTTACAGATGAGGAAACTGAGGCAGGAAACTGAGATAGTAGAGCTGAGATTCTTACCCAAGGGTTCTGGTGTCTGGGTCAAGCTTTTCAGCACCATGCATTTCTTTTTTTTTTTTTTTTTTGGTTTTTATTTATTTTTGGCTCTGCTGGGTCTTCGTTGCTGCTTGGGCTTTTCTCTAGTTGTGGCAAGTCAGGGCCTCTCTAGTTGCAGTGTGCGGGCTTCTCATTGCAGTGGCTTCTCATTGTGGAGGACGGTATCTAGGGTGTGCAGCCTCAGTAGTTGCAGCTCCCGGACTCTAGAGCACAGGCTCAATAGTTGGGGTGCACAGGCTTAGTTGCTCTGCAGCATGTGAGATCTTCGGGGATCAGGGATCGAACCTATGTCTTCTGCATTGGCAGGTGGATTCTTTACCATTGAACCACCAGGAAAGCCCAGCACCATGCATTTCTGTCTCTCCTTGAAGGAGATGCCACTTTGTCTCACAAATGCTGATACCAAGAGTTGCGTTTTGTGGCACAGAGGAAAGGACACATGGACTAACTACAAAACTGGAGTTTCAGCTATTGCTGAGTCACCCTATTTTTGCAGCTCTCTTGAGCTGTAAAATGAAGAGGACTGGGTTAGGTTCTTTCCAACTCTGCACCACTTGTTGGCAGAAAAGCTATGTGACACGCTGTCTCCTACCTTGAACTGGCATTTTTTTTTCATCTCTCCTCTCCTTTTCTCATCTTTAAAGAGAGCCAGGCCCTCCATTCTAGAGGGAAGGGTCTGGGACTAGGAAGCAGAATCCTTCAATCCATTCTGCCTTCACTTGGGAAGTGGGGGAGGTGTGCTCTCCAGCTACAGGAGCAGGAACTCAGGTATTGTTTAGAGCTGGTAAGGCTCAGCCCTGCCCTCTAGCCTTCTAGCTGCCAAGGCCTGGCAGAGCCATGGGTGGGTGGAGCTAAGGCACAAAGAATCAATCAGTGGAAGAAGCTCCTTGGACTTGGTGCTTTCCCTTGCTGTTATCCATCTAAACTGCAATCCGTAGGAGACAGGCATAGACTTCACCTTTCATAAAGCCATTTTTTCTGGAAGAGATGGCCTGGGAACTTAAAAGAGATTTGGTCCATTTGCTTTGGCTAGAAAGCCACGACTGATCAGGGTTAGGGACTTCAGGCACCCCTAGAATATTTTGTGAAATGACCTTGCCTTCATCACCAGGCACTCAATCCAGACACCAGTGGTGTGCTTATCTCATTTGACACTGACAAGGCAGTGTTTTCTCTGGAAATGGAGCTTTCCCTAGATGGTAGTACTGCTTTATATGTGATGAACGGCATCACTATATATCTCATGATGGGTCTGTTGGAGGGGTGGTAGGAGTGGAGACCCCTTCCCTCCCAGCCTGGTTTGTTGTGGATTTTTGGGCTGTGCCGTACAGCTTGTGGGATCTTAGTTTCCTGACCAGGGATTGAACCTTCGCCCTCTGCAGTGAAAGCTCAGAGTCCTAACCACTGGACCACCAGGGAATTCCTCCCCTCTCCGCCCTGTCCCCAACCTGTTTTATTAGAGAGCTGCTCCTTGGCCGCATCTCTCTTCCTCTACCATTGAATTTAGTGCTTCTTTTCTAATGGTGGGAGAGGGTTAAAGCTTTTACTTCGGAAAGTCATGTCCCATTTCTAGAACCCTTTCCGTGAGCTGAGGGGCCTTGTGCCGAACAAAAGCTTGTGAACTCTCATTCATGTCCA